GGGTGAGATTTTAGCTCTGAGCTCTGACTTCTCGGCTTTCTCTTTTACATTGTTTCTGTGTTTCTTATTTAATAAGACGGTTGGTTACATCTACAGGCAACAGCCCTAATTGTGCCATACTGATCAGGAACCTCGATTTCTCTCTTAGGGTTCAGATCATGATCCCATAGAATTATTTTTCTGTCTTTCCCTCCTACAGTTAATAGCATCCTGTTTCACATCTGACAAAGCATAAACACACTGCCTTTTTGAGAACTGATTTATCTGTTGAACTGACAGACAACTTTAGGTCCTTTCTCAGGACACTGAGTAAAGCTTGAACAAAAGAGACTTCAAAGTTCACCCCAAGGGTGACACACTTCTTCCAACTAGACCACAACTAGGTCACACCTCCTAATAAGTGCCACTTTCTTTGGAGGCCATTTTTTTTTTCAAACCACTTCAGACTTGTATGACAAGAACATCCATTCTTTGAAAATAAATTGGAGAAGATATCAAAAGATCAAAAGACCTTCCATGCTCATGGATAAGTAGTATTAACATAGTAAAAAAAGTCCATTTTATCAAAAGCAATATAAAGATTCAATGAAATCCCCATCAAAATTCCAACAAAAGTCATTACACACCTTGAAAGAACAATACTCAACTTCTTATGGAAAAACAAAAAGCACAGGGTACTTAAAACAATCCTTTACAATAAAAGAACTTCCAGAGGTATAACCATCCAGGATTTCAAGTTGTGCTACAGAACTATGTTAATAACAGCCATGGGGTATTAGCATTAAAAACAGACAGGTAGTTCAATAGTATTAAATAGAAGACTCAGACATAAATTCATATATCTATGGACACCTGATTTTGACAAAGTCAGAAATATACAAAGGGAAAAAAGCATCTTCAACAGATAGTGCTGGTCTAAATGAATGTTGGCATGTAGAAGACTACAAATAGATGCATATTTATCATCCTGCATGAAAATCAAGTCCCAGGGGATCAGATCTTAACAGAAAACCACATACACTGAACTTAATAAAAGAGAAAGTAAGGAATAGCCTTGAACACTTCGACAGAGGAGACAACTTCCTGATCAGAACACCAATAGTGCAGGTATTAAGATCAACAATTAATAAATGGGATTTCATGAAACTGAAAAGTTTCTGTAAGGCAAAGCCTCTGTCAGCAAGATAAAATGGCAACCTACAGAACAGGAATAGATTTTACTAACCACTCATCCAACAGAGTGCTGATTTCAAAAATATGCAAACAACTAAAGAAACTAGACTTAAAAAATTAAAGAATCCAAATAAAAAATTGGGCACAGATCTAAAAGGAGAATTCTAAAGTGGCTGAGAGATGCTTAAACAAATGTTCAACATCTGTAGCTAGAATTTTCTTAGTTCTGCCTGGCCCACAATCAGGACAAATCTCTCTCACCGCCAGTCCCGCAGCTGCTCAGACCCAACCAAGTAAACACACGGAGACTTATATAACTTGTATGGCCGTGGCAGGCTTCATGCTAACAGTTCTTATATTTTAGATCAACCCATTTATATTAGTCTATAAGTTGCCATGTGGCTCGTGGCTTACTGGTACCTTACATCTCACTTTTCATGGTGGTGGCTGACAGTACCTTCCACTTCCCAGAATTCTCTTCTCTCCTTGTCTGCCTATACTTCCTGCCTGGCTACTGGCCAATCAGGGTTTATTTATTAACCAATCAAATCAACACACTTAACATACAGAACATCCCACAGCTAACATCCTTAAGCATCAGGGAAAACCAAATAAAAACCATTTTGATATTCCACCTTATACCTGTCAGAATGGATAAGATCTAAAACACTTGTAACAGCTCATGCTGGTGAGGCTATAGAACAGGGAAAACACTCCTCCATGACTGGTGGGAATGCAAGCTTGTAAAGCCATTATGGAAATCAACACAGATATTCTTCAGAACACTGAGAATCAATCTACCTCAAGATCCGCGGACATGACTCTTAGGCATATACCCAAAAGACACACCATCCTGTCATAAGGACACTTAATCAACTATATCCATAGCAACTTTATTCATAATAGCCAGAAAGTAGGAACAACCTCGATGTCCCTCAACTGAAGAATAGATAAAGAAAATGTGGTACATTTACAACAATGAAGTATTACTCAGATGTTAAAAAAAAATCATGAAATTTGCAGGCAGACAAATAAAACTAGAAAAAAAAAGTCATCCTAAGTGAAGTAACCCAGACTCAAAATGAAAAACATGATATGTAGTCACTTAAAGTTACTATTAGCTGTAAAGTAAAGGGTAATCATTATGGTGATATTTTATTTGTACTGAAATGTGATTTTAATTTTATGTTAATAAATAAAGTTGCCCTGGGGTCAGAGCTATTAGAGCCATAGCAAGAGCATGGTGGTTAGAAGAGCTAGGTAGATTTCT